TGATAATGTTGCAACTCTCCCCTTAATTCAGCATCTCCTTCAGTCCATAGCTCTCTTAGTGTGCTGTCCTAGGTCTACACACCTTCCGAGAAAATACTCCATGGTCCATGGACTCAAACCAGTGTATTGAATCCAAATTTGTCATTTAAACTTGACTCTACATTTTGAGGTGATCCAGAGAATCTTCATCACACATCAAATTCATTCTAAGACAATATTTATTGCATCTCCCCCTGACACAGGGCTTCCCTAGACAATTAATTTTTCCCACACCACATGTTATTGATTAATCTCACTTTTATCCTCTCTCAGCATTTTGCAAGCTTTTTCACTAGATAGAGTTTTCCTCTGATTTATGGTTAAAAGGTTTCCCTCTCTGGTTTTGTAAGGTCTTGTAATAATAGCCCCACATACGTACGATAATTCTCAGAAGTTATTTGCTCACTAAATGAAATAATCATTCTTTCCATTTGAAATCTAAAAGTCATAAGTGACTTTTTTCTTTTCTCCAGTTCCCTATCAAATCATTTATCACCTTCTGTTTTCCACTGTTCGTCATTTCTTTCCATCTCCCTAGTTACCTCTCTCTTTCAAGTCCTGGCCTATTAAGATTGAGTCATTGTGCAGATTTCTGTGGAACTTTCCTCTCTGTTGGGTTTTGCTTCCCGTTCAATCCATTTCATTTGTAATATCAGGTTTTCATTCCACCCTTATTATGAAGTTTTCTGGCTTAAGAATCCAGAATGGATCCCTGTTGACTATTTCAAGTGCAAGCAACAATGTCTGCCGTTCTTTTTTTTACTTCTCCAAAACTGGAAAAACAAATAAAAAAAAAGATACATACAGAAATATATCTAGCAATGCAGGGGAAAGAGAGAAGCAGTTATGATCTTTCCTTCAGTCATTCCCTTGCTTGGATATGACACCGTAAACATTAGTTAGGATGATTTCTCCTTTGGATGCTTATTGTTTACAAAAGCAGAGTCCATTATACATAAGCTTTACCTAAGTTGCTATTTTCATTTACCAAAACTCAGTTCTCTCTCCAGGTGGATGTCTTTGGATTAAATTCATTTTTTAAAATGAATGCATAGTGTTCTCCAAGACACACTTACTATAACATATACAATTAGTCCCATATGTTTTACCACTAATGAACATTTAATTATTTTTATTTTATTTTTCTTATTCCATTGTTTTAAAATGTGCAATAGATTTTACAGCATCTTTGTGCACCTTTTTATAAAATTATTTTCTTAAAAGAGTGTCAGGTTAATGTTAGGAAATGTAAAAATCCACATACAATTTTGGGTAATGCATAAAAACTATTCTCATTTTAATGTTTTTATCATCAGTAGGTCTCAAAATGCAAGGTAAAATATTCTCATTATTGATTAAATATTTATTTCCCTGACCACTACAGGGCTAAACTTTTTAAAAATATGTTGTTCTCCTGAATTTCATGTCCTGTAAAATTCTACTTTGCCTATTTGTCTTTTAAAAGTAACATTTTCATTGATATACCACTAATTTTCACCTATTTTCTTTTTTAAAAACATTTCATTTGGAGAGACCAGTGTGATAGTACAGCATTAGGGCATTTGCACATGGTTGACGCACGTTAGATCCCTGGCATCCGATGGGGTCCCCCTGAAAACTTCTAGTAGTGATTCCTAAATGCAGAGTCAGGATTACCCCCTGAGCATTGCTGAGGTTGATCTAACACCAAAAGAATTTCATGTGGATTTGTAATAGTTTTTTTCTTTAATTGATCAAATGTATTATCCATAGTGCCCCTAATATCTGTTGCATATACTATATCTGTATTCTTCTCTTTCTCCTTTCTCCTTCTCCCCTTCCAGTTTTTAATCCATGCTTCACCTCCCCACTTCTGTGAGCCCTCACCTCTGTGGTCTATTCCGTGACTGGTGCTGAGTGTTCATGAGACAGTCAATGAGAAAGGTTCCTTCTCCAATTAAAGCCTGATGTAGCAGAGTTTGTGGTTCAGGAAGGAGTATAAAAGTAACACGTCTTAGATCCTCTAGAAAACCTTAAGTGTGGCAAAAGAACTGCTTTCAATAAGTAATAAAGAAATATTCTATTATCTTGAGCATATCAACAAGTCTACTTCTGACACTCTTTGTCTGATAGCATGTGCCACTTTAAATTAGCCCTAATGTAAATTTTGATGTAATGCTTACCCCATACAATATCCAAAGATTCAGATATATGCTGACATAAAAAGATATTCACAAATTGTTTATTTGAGAAATTGTCCTGTGATTTTCTTGTATACATATATATTTAAATCAAGTTTCAGAACTTTTTTCTTTTATTTATATATTTTTATTTACATACTTTTTTGTTGGGGGGGAAAAACCTAGTGGTGCTCATGGCTTACTCCTAGGTCTGTACTCACGAATCATTCCTGGAGTGGCTTAGGAGAGCATCAGTAGTGCTGAGAACGAAGTCTGGGTTGTTCACAAGAAAACAATAGTACCTGCTCTACTATTGCTGTGGTCCTATTTATCTTTTTTAAAGGGAGGATAGATGAAAGGAATAGGGAACAGAACAATTAGAGAAGCTCAGTTCTATATAAAGATTTCTGTGAATTATCACTGGGGGGAAAAGGCAGTTCAGATAGATAAGGGACCACCAAGTAAAGGGTGCTTGGAGGGCCTGCTTGGGATGGGAGATGCATTCTGAAAATAGACTATAGACCAAACATGATGGGCACTCAATACCTCTATTGCAAACCACAACACCCAAAATTAGAGAGAGAGCAAAAGGGTATGCCCTGCCACAGAAGCGAGGTGGGGTGGGGGGGTGAGGTGAGGGTGGGGGAAGGTGCTAGGATCATTGGTGGTAGAGAATCGGTGCTGGTGGAGGGTACTGAGCATTGTGTGACTGAAACATGACCATGAAAGTTTGTAAGTATGTAACTGCACCTCATGGGAATTCATTACAAAAAATAAAAAATTAAAAAAAATAATATTTCTGTGAATTATGTTGTGGTTCACAGGAGACAAAGTACACTACTCCACAGGGGGAAAATTATGATGCTTTTAGAAGTTATTAAATGGTAAATATATTTAAATTTTTCAGTGGCAGTGCTGGGGTAGAGATGTGAAAAATGGAATTTAGGTTTTTCTACTTTCCGTGTCTCTTTGCCACTGAGTCTGAATGTCATCATCTATATAAACTGTACCATAAGAATAACATTGAAATAAATGCACTCAGACAGAAAATATCTAGGAACTGAGAAAGGAGAATATTCTGGAAGGGGACAGGAAGGGGCATTAAGCTGTGACACAGTGATTAGAAGAAGGGTTGAATGAAGTTCACTGGGGGTTCTACATTAATTCCCTCATCAGGGGAATATAAAGTAACAAAATAGGAGACCAACACCCAAGAATGGCCGAGATTAGTACCAGGAATTTTGCTCCATGGCTTGGAGGCCAACTACACATGCTAGGGGAAAAGGGAGCTCAGGTAGAGAAGGGAACATCAAATAAAGGGTGTTGGGAGGATCCTCCCAGGATGGGAGAAGCATGCTAAAAGTAGAATATAGACCAAACATGATTTTCACCCATTGCCTCTTTTGTAAATCACAACACCCAATAAGGAGAGAGAGAGAGAGAGAGAGAGAGAGAGAGAGAGAGAGAGAGAGAGAGAGAGAGAGAGAGAGAACAAAAGGGAATGCCCTGCCACAGAGGCAGGGTGGGATGGGGGGTGGGGGGTGGGGGGGATACTGGGATCCATGGTGGTGGGAAATGGGCACTGGTGGAGGGATGGGTATTTTATTCATTATATAATTGAAACCCAAGCACAAAAATTTGTAAGTCTACAACTCTACCTCACGATGTCTCACTAATAAAAATTTTTAAAAAATGGTGAAGCATGAACAATCTTATTCTTGTTAGGGTGGTGGACAGAAATATCTATTGAACTCTGTGGTACTGGTTGATACATAATATTATTCTGTCCTGATATTGTCTTGACTTGGGCTGGAGCGATAGCACAGCGGTAGGGCATTTGCCTTACAAGCAGTCAACATGGCCAACCCGAGTTCGATTCCTCAGCCCCCCTCAGAGAGCCCGGCAAGCTACCGAGAGTATCTCACCCACACGGCAGAGCCTGGCAAGCTACCCGTGACATATTCGATATGCCAAACACAGTAACAACAAGTCTCATGATAGAGACGTTACTGGGCCCGCTCGAGCAAATCAATGAACAACGGGAGAACTGTGACTATGACTGATTGTCTTGACTTGATGCTTGGGATATGTGAGCTGCTCTAGAAAGAAATTTGGGGAGGAGGACAATATCTGAAGTCCAAACTCTGAGTGGACAGGCCACGAAGAAGGTGTGAGTATGCTGGCCAGGCTTGGCCCCCAAAAAGGGAGAGAATATATGAGCTTAAGGAGGTTAAGGAAAACTTTTTTTTTTAATTTAAATTCAAGAATGGTCCATCCTCCCATTAGGGAGGGAGAGAGATGAGTAATAAAAGGAAAAGATAGTGGAACAAAGATATTAGAAAATAAAAGGTAGAAACACCGAGATAGGATGGAGGAAGCTAGAAAAGGAGAGATTGCAGAGGAGTCTAGGTGCATAAGAGATGGAAGGGAAAAGAGAGAGTTTGATTAAGGGCTTTTTTCCCCGGGAATACCCACAGAGGTCTGGATGAGCACTAAGGTGGAGGGGAGATTCAGAGTAATCTGGGAAGAGGGCTCATGTGCAGGGAAGATACAGAGAGTTTGTGAGGCATTCTGAAATTGAGAAAAGAATAAGGTATTTCATAGGTTATGTTGAAGTTTTGTGACTGCATAGGGAAAGTACATTGATGACAAAGGTGCCTACCTGTCTACCCTTATGATATATAAGACAGATAGATGCTCTATCCTGTGCCTGGAAATGAGAGCTGTCTGTGCTTCATTACTCAGCAAAAAACTGTCTTGGGTAACACACACTCATCCCAAGAGGAAGGATTCAGGCTTTACCTTGCAGGAAGTCTTCTCTCCTAGGAAGGGAGGCAGCGTGACTCTGTGGGCAGGACACAGGCCCAGAGTCAGGGTTCTCTCTAAGTTCTAATTCTGGTCCTCTCCAGCTTGGAACTGTGGCAAAGTCACTTAATTTCTCTGTGTCTCCATTTCTCCATCTGCAAAATATGAAAGCAGTTTGAGATGCCAGGAACCAGTCACTTCCATCCCTTGTTCATGTACAAAGTTTCTCTAGTCCTAGAAACATTACAGTTTCTAGGACTTGGAACCCCTTTGTATAAGGTTTTCTCTGGGTCTTTCTTAGGTGGTGACATATATTAAAGCTATTTCTGGAATCATTTTCTTTTATTTTTTTTTGCACATAGATGACCTGGGTTGATTCTTGCGCCCCTCTCGGAGAGGCTGGCAAGCTACCAAGAGTATCTCACCCGCAAAGCCTGGCAAGGTACCCGTGATGTACTTGATATGCCAAAAACAGTAACAACAAGTCTCACAATTTGTTGAGACGTTACTGGTGCCTGTTCAAGAAAATTGATAAACAACGGGAGGACTGTGCTACAGGACATTGAATCACTGTGAGATATAGTTACAAAACTTTCATGTTTGAGTTTCAGTCCTACAATGAACATCCGTTCCTCTACAAGTCCACATTCTCCACCACCAATGTCCCCAGAATTACACCCATCCCCCATTCCACCCCCCCCCCCGCTTCTATGGCAGACAATTTCACCCATACTGTCTCTCTACTTTTGTACATTATGGTTTGCAATATAGATACTGAGAGGCTATCACGTTTGATCCTTTATCTACTTTCAGCACACATCTCCCATTCCAAACGATTCCTCCAACCATCATTGATTTAGTGATTCTCTCTCTCTATTACAGCTGCCTTCTTCCCTAGCTCATGAGAACAGGCTTCTGGAACAATTTTCTACTAAGTCTTCTCTATGAATGTAGTGATAGTTTACCCTCACTGCGAGGGTTCTAGAACTCTTGGTGATCATGACTTTCCAGGCATCCTTACTTAGATTCCTGAATCTGAGATGGAATCAGCCCAAATGGCAATACTGCAGGGTGATCCCACACAGAATTTACATGTGATGCTTATTTAGTCTGTGATTTCTTCAGGGTCTTCAAGGGTGACTGGACTAAATAGGTCTCTAGAGAGTCTACAGTGATAGAAGAGTTTATAAAAGTCTTGCAGCACCCATTATAACCTTGAGACATCAACCAAAGGTTCTGATAATTTTTTATGCATCAAGAAGTTCATATTTATAGAGGTTTACATATTTGTTCAAAGCTACCCAGCTGGTCAGAGAGAAAGATGTAACTGAACCTGAACACCTGTTTGCAAATCAAGAAACACTTTTCTCAATGTAGCAGGGCTAGTTTAACACACTCTTAGAAAGAACCAAAGATCTAGGACAAGAGAAGTATTTGAGCTGGTGGTATTGGGTAAATTTTTAGGTGTGATTTTGGGTAAGGTCTCTCTAGAAATTCCCATGGTTATTTATTCAAAGTTTTCAGCAACAGTAAACATCTTTAGGCTGTGTTAAATCTCTGTGGTTCAAGTGAACTCATAGCGTGGAATGACACACTCAGGAATTTACAGTGTAATGGGCACATCATGTTAACTAGCTAATCACAATTAGCCAACACAAGTCTTATAGCATTGAAGTATTATATCAACTTTTTTGTATTTCTCTTAAGCAACAGATGACTAAGAGAGTTGAACGAGATAAGAAAGAAAATTGATCAACTTATGTTAACCAAGTGACTCAACCAATCAGTAAAATACTTATTAATTGAAATATTTGAATTCACTTATAGTACTATCACTAACAATTGCATGACCTGAGCTAATCCTACCGACACTGATTTCACAGAAGTTTTAAATCTCTGCATTAGATAACATACACAAAATATAGATTACTATAAATGTTCAATAAAAGGCACTATGTTTATATATTATTACTGTATACCAATTTATTACTATACCTGCACAATACCTCAGTTTCAGTTTGCCATTTAAAACTCTGGTGGTGTAATAGCAGGAAAAGGTCTATAAAGAGAACTCTAATTCTCTTATAAAGATCAATTAATGACATTAACTAATCCTAGAATACTTATTGAGGACTTAATCTTCACCATTCAAGCAACTTCTGGTAAGGACAGATACATAAGATATCACTATATCAAATCAAAGAAAGACTAAAAATAATAGGATGGGATTAACATAAAGGAAATCTTAAATAGGGTGAAAAATAATTTATTTTAGGTACAAAAAAAAATAGAAGCCATAAGGAAACAAAAGAAAAAATTTAAAAAAGTACATTTGGGAAAAATAGAAATGTCATGGCTGTGATTAATTTCATCCAAAAAACTGAGAGAAAGGCAGCATAATGTACTAAAACAAAAAAGCTAATCTTTGGCATATTCAATTGTAATGCAATGACCTATGCAGATACTTTCCTTTTCAATGGATTCTTTGATAAGACTTGAGTTATAAAAGGAATCATTTTATGAGAATCAGGCATTCAATGGAATGTTAGCAATATTATCAAGAAAAACACATATAAATAGCTCATAATATTTAAAAATTAAACAAATAATACATTGAGTCACAAGTAAAGTGTTAATTATGGTACAACTTCTTCAGCATAGATTCACTTGGATTTGAAATTCCTATTTACTGCTGTTGTCACATATGCCCACAGCATATTTGTCATTGAGTTTTGTTAAAAATAAAGCCATGTAAGACAATACCCCTTAGAGAACAAATGGATGAACAAGGAAAGATGCTGTGGTGTCCCATTAATTGCCCCAAAGTGAACATTCACATTATTAATCAGAAGGCTTCAGGCCACTCAGCCAGTACTTACTTGGACCTCTGAGTCACTACAGGGTCCTGGGAATCCTGCCCACAGGGTTCCCCTCCCCTCCCTTCCCAGTTCCTCCCCTCTCCTTTCCTTTCCTCTCCTTCCCTTTCTCCCTTCTCCCCTCCACTTTCCCCTGCACTCTCCCCTCCACTCTCCCCACACTGCCTCTCCCCTAGGGCTGTAACCTTCCCAACAACTACCTAAAGTTGGTTGCTGCAATGCGTATTTTTCAGCTGCAATAGAAGCTGAAAAGAGAAGAAAATCTTGTCTAAATTTGCTCAGGCTATGGATGAGCACAGGGCCACCGACTCATACCTTCTAGGACAACTTGAGAAACAAGGTCGGCTCCCTGTTTTCCCTTGTTGGGCTCTGCCACTTGGTACCCAGTGTGTCTGTTAAGCAAACTCTCAGGGCTTATGTGTACTGTGCTTGGGGTACAGTTCCTCTTTCATTGATGAGGATACTGTATCTTCCATCTCTTTTGCTCAGGATGTTCAGGAACTTGGCTGATAGCTTTCTACTGATCTTTAGTGAGTATATTTGACAGCCTGAGCCAGGATGCACGCATGATAGATGTTACAGAGGAATCTAAAACTACAACAGAAAACTGCCTTTCCCAAAACTGCACTTAACCTTCACATAGCCTTTGATCCATATTGCTTATGAGGGGAAGGATCAACCGGTTTCCCCAAACATACTCAGTTCTCTGAGATCCTCTTTTGTATGAACTGCAAAATACTCTAGTTGCTTAACCATAAACACTTTGTAAACATTTTTTAAAGAAATAGTGGACAAGACTACTTTTAACCTTGGGAATTGCTGAGGACCAATATATATGCCTCTACATGACCATCCCGCCCCCAACAAAGCTTGCAACTGTTGCCAATTGTGAATCTTTTTCTGGAGTGCCTATACCTGCATTGACCAGTTAGATCTGCCTGGCTTTCATAACACAATCTCTATGGTATGAGGGTTCAGGTCTCTGCCTCTAGCTTCTCTCTCAACTCAGCCTCACAGTTAGTTTCAGATGTACCTGATGTTTCTACTTTGATATTTGAGGTAAGTTGTGAAACATCCACAGAGTTGAAGGACAACTTTGTAAATACTCGTGTAATACTGTGATTTTACACATGGGGGTGAATGATAACATAATTTTTGTCACCTACTCTGGAAAATACAACCGTTCACCTGGGTTCCCTATCAAACTGTTTTGAGGTCATTAAAATCTGCTTCTCCAACATCTCTTGGACCACATTTTCCACTCTGTTTATTTTGCTCTAAGTATGTGTTTGTGGTTATGATACAGGTCTTATTATTTCATCTCTGAATGCCTGCAAGAACATTTCTCCTGGTGACGTGGCCCCAGGACCCTTCTGTCTATTTTCTGGGACATACCTATGTAAAGACAAAGCTGAGAAAATTGTTCTGCCAACAATTATTTACTGTTATCCTAACTTCTAGACAAACTAATGTCCCAGAGTGAGTCCCACAGGGCTCAGCACTGAGATCAGCACCCAGGAGTCTCCTGAAGCCATAACCCCTCATACCTGTGCCACTACCACTGCTCATTCCTCTTATGGCACCTAGAATTTCTTTCAATCGTGAAATGTGTCATTTACTCACACATTTTTTAATGTTCTCTTTTGTGCCTTTCGTATTTCAGATAAAAAAGTACATTATTACATGGAACTTATCCATTCGAAGCTGTGCAAAATGCTCCTTTCACATTTGAGTCATTTATAGAATAAAGTAGAGACTATGCAAGGTCATGCCCATTTTGGCAGGTCCCCTGAGTGGATCCTCCTATTTCTCTGACTGCTTCAGCTGCTTCTCTGTATGGAAGGTGTCAGCAGGTGAGAAGTACGGGCAGCAGGAAACCAAGAACTTTTTCTCTGCATGATCCTTCAGGTCTAAGTGCAAACATACAGAATGGAACAGGCCACATGGGGTGAGCCAAGAAGTTTGAGGCAGGAAGACTAGAGCTGATGTTCTATTTGAATATTCTCGTTGGCTACAAAGAGCCTCATAGTGTAGGCAGTATTAACAGGTTACTTGAATAGAGCTTAGTGCTCCTCAAAGTAGTATGTTAGGATAAAAGGCATGCCTGGGGATCATACTCTGTGTTCAGCCATTCTGTGTTTAGTTTCTGGACTCAGAATAAAGTATGTTATGCTCTAGAGCACCCCAAAAAGGTCAACTGACGTTGATCCAATCATCTAATTACTACTACTACAATAATACTTGTTTTCTCCCTGGAACTTCCCAGTGATGACTCAGTC